GTCCCTCCAGCGGGAGCGTAGGGCCGGAAGAGTCACACACTCTTGGATGAACTGAGGATCAAGGCGTGACTGTTTGGTGTCTGCCACGTACATTGCCGCAAGTTCAGTGAAAAAACGAGGGTTGGGGGCTATAAGATGATTGGCCATCTCAAGTTCCTTACGGTACTCCACCGCCATTCCATCCACCTCAAGGTTCCGTTTCTCCCACCAAGAAAGTTCGTCAAAGAGATTGGACTTGTCGAGGTGTCCATATACTGGGGAAAAGGCAGAAACTCGATTGATCGAGGAGATCGCATTGAGAAAAATAGATAAGGAACTTTCATCAAACGACATAGTACTTGCACGTAGACTCCACGGAGACTCTGACCTGACTACCACAAACGTAGAAAAGTACGCATCCGTGACAGGAACGAAGACATCACAAAACTTGGTAAAGTCAAATCTCCAATGACAACAAAAAACATTCGTCTCATAGCAGCTATAGCAACATCATAATAGGGGTTCCCAACCCATATGCTGGAAACCCACAGCTGATGCATCCGTTGAACGCATACAATTCTTGGCCGCATGGTGCACTGCAATTTCAGAATCAGAATGGTGGTGCCACAAATAAGCCAATGGGGCGGCAAAGCCAAACAAGATTGCCAGTGTACAAAGGACTTCAATACCGAGTAGCAAAGAGAGCTCAAGCTTACACAAGGCCTATCAGCAGACCTCTTATTCAGCGAGCAGTCAAAGATATAAGTCAGAGAGCTTTCGATCCAGATAAGGACTGTATTATCTGCAGGGCAGTGGCTCGAAACCAGCGAAAGCCACATCGGAAACACGATCCTCGTTGCGAAAGCAACACTAAAACTCGTGGACATTCTGCTACAGAAGTGGCAAGTAATCGATATTCGGCGTACCTCAAGAGACACTTCTCTGCTAGAATGACAGATCCTGGCAAGGAAAAACAGCTGACGGGCGGAACCACTCCAGGGGTTGATCAGTATTTGGTAAGAACGGTGAAGAAGTACCAGAGACTTGACACAGGAAAGGTCCCTGTGATGGAAACTGATTCAGCAGTTGCAAATAAGATGCTTGCGCCGACAAGTTCTCTTCAGGAAGTGGCCATTTTTTTGGAGAAGAGCATTGCAACAAGACTGAAACAAGCGCCACCAAACAAGACAGTCCCACCTGCAATGTTGGCCTTGGCAGCCGAGATTATGGATCAAGTTCGGCACAAGAAACCAAAGCGCATTGCCGAGTCTGCGTCGCCACCACAGGGTCAATCATTCAAGCAAGCAAAAGCTAGATTCGATGCAATTTTTGGGTTGAACAACATCGTATATACGGTTCCATATGTGATGGACTCAAGACGTTTGATCGACCCACATTTCCATTCCCTTGCCGGGTCCAAATTCATCTACATGGACTTTGAAGTTGCTTTTCCAAACTTGGAACTAGCGTGCTATCAATGTTCATCTAATGATCTATCTCGAGAACGTGATTATTGGAGTCACCACAAGCGTCTGTTTCCGGTTGTTGATGATTCAACTGAGATTTGGTGCCTACCATTCCGGTACCAATGCAACTGTTGCAAACACATCTTCTCAACAAATGAAGGACGGTTTCTTGCGACCCTTCCAGCATTCATCCGCAACCAATACCCTGTTGACCCAAGGTATGCAGATGGTCCCCAGCAAACTCACATATCGAAGCCCCTATCTGGAGACATGGAGGAAGGCATGTTGCAGTTCTCCAGTGCAGCTCAATTTACAAAGAAGATCTACAGACAAAAAAATGAAGCATTTCTTGAGAAGATGGAAGACTATTACAGCAGACCAAACATTGCTGGAGCTTATCCACCAATACAAGAGGTGGTTCGAACATATCCACCGTCAGATCAAGATTGCCGAAACCAATTCAGATACGCTCAGGATTCGATCCTTAATCCAGAGGGAATGGCAGCAAATGATCGATTTGAGCGTATGATTCAAGCAACAAGCATTGGAGAGCTTCTTGCGATTGACCATACCTTTGAGACTCTGAAGAACTATCGATTGGAAGGTGGCAAAGCGATCTTTACAGTCTTGAATGAAAAGGGTCAGATTTGCACCCTGGGGATTGTTGCGTCGCAGAAGCTTCAAGAGGTCGACCACCTTTTGAATGCAATGTTGAAGCGAAAGGGGATGAATTTCAATGATGGCAAACGGCGAGGGCTGTACACCGACACATGGCCGAATAGTAAGACCTACTGGATCAAGCGCCTTGGACCAAACACGGAAGGGACACTGGGCCTCTTCCACTTCAACCAGCGAGTCACAAAGCTTCTGAACCCAATGCATCCACACTTCCATCTGGTAAAAGATCGCTTTCAAAGGTCTGTCTATAGGTACAATCAAGACGACATGGATGGATTGATGAAAGCGTTTTGTGACGGGAAAATTAAAAAGCAAGGTGATGGTGAGTCATACACAGAGGAAGAAGTGGATGAATTGCGACTCTCGAAAAATTGGACTAGGAACTACACCAAGTATCTCAGAAAGGAGATACTAAGTGGAGACGAAGTCGACAGAAACTTACATGACTTTGGAGTCTGGGTTCTAGACTTTCTCAAGACAGCCCCAGAACTTATAGAAGTCTTCACGACTTCGATACAAAAGTTCATGGACCAACTCAAGAATAATCGACTGCATGCCAACCACATTCAAGATCCGGAAGGTATTGAGATGTATCGAGGCGTCCAACCTGGAAAGAGAGCACTCATTCCACTACTCGTATGGCTATCCAAACGTCCGGAGAGCTTGCTTGAAATGTTCCATGGTCTCTTGCGTCATTTTGCAAATACAGGAATGCGTCCAGAAGTAGCAGACTCCCTAACTCTGAAAGGTGCTGCAGAATACAATCTACTACGGGAGCACAGAGTTCAACAGATGGAAAACAATGGTGACGATGTTGATTGTTGTTGGGAGTTTGTACCAGGATACTTGCGAGATCGACCTCTATGGTACAATCATGCCAGACTTCATCTTCTCAATGAGCTTGCAATCGCAAAGGGTATAGATCCACCATTTCCAGACATCAAAGCCATGGCACCAAACACTGGCGAAGTCTTCTTGTCAAAGTACTTCATGGAACAAAAGGAAAGGAACAAACTTGGAAAAACAATGGAGGGACTCTGCACTCGCAAGGAATGCGAATCGTGCGCAATCCAATTTGATACAGCAGCTGCAAGTCCAGTTGTTAATGCACCTGGGAATGGAAACGTTCCGAGCGTAGAAGAACTGGTAAGCAATTTGCAGGACTTTGCAACATTTCCAATTCTGCCACGAGCTTACAATTTCTTCTTTTTTCAGTCTAAAGTAGGAGCACCCACAGCAGTATTGCCAATTCGTTGTGTCCCGCACGCACCACAGCCCCCTTCTGGAAGATTGTTGACGCTTCCGAATGGCAATGCTCCCAGAAACGTTCCTTCAACACTTCCAAATTTTGTGTACCCATCATCATCGAATCTGCCAATTTTTTCAATGAATCCTCCTTATGTTGGAGCTGGAGGAGGCTACCATCCAATGGTTCGATTTCTTCCATTTCAGGCGACCAATACAATGCTTCCGTTTCACTTCCTTCAACCAAAGTTGAATCAAAACTTTTGCTGTCGACCATATGCTCAATATATGTTTTACCAGATGAACAACGGTGGAAAGAAAAAACCTGGACCCGTTCCACATGACAAACATTGCCCACTAAAGAAGAAATAATTCGTAGATCTGTTTTCGTAAACTTGAAATTGGATCTCTTTTCATGTAATTTTGAACTTCTCTTGTATTTTTTATTGCTTCGTCGTGATGTTGATCTTGGAAATCGAGGTTTCAGCATTGGTTTTCAAGAAAACGGTTAGACGACTGGCTATTGTATTAATTGAGTTGTATTTTTACTCTATCTATTTTGATCGAGATCTCGACGATCTCCAACAACCATTATCTATTTTCGTCGAGATCTATGAAGAAAGCCACACCTGGGAATGGATTTGATTGGCTAATTTTAGTTTCTCCCCCAAGGTTCCCCCTTGGATATATTTATTTATTTATATTCTTTTGTTCGCGTGGTCGGGAATATTCGTTGTCTGAAGTTTTCTTGTTCGTGCCAGAAACGCGTAAAACCCTCCTTTTTCTTCTTTCTTTCCCTCTCTTCCCCCCCCTCCTCTTCTGCCCTTTCCCCCCCCCTAAGCCCACCAGAGTGCTAAATAATAATCAGGCAGATCCAGTCCTACCGGTAGATCGGAAGCTACCCTTCTTGAAAACTTCTGTGGTCGAGATCCCCGCTACACTAATCGCTCTGACAATGAGTTGGCGCTTCCTCTCCGCGCTGTTCTGACCGAATGTAAGCGTCATGAGAATATGCCTCATCGAGTCGATCCGTACACAATTGAGATGCATACCACCCTGGTGGCTTTGAATACCGCTACAACCGCACATATGGATGGTTTACACCGTGCTATGGAAGATTGGTTTAACCTGAGTACCTATTTAGGTTTTCGCCTTCGCGAATGGGCCCAGGAGGATGATTACCGTCGCCTGGCTTCCGGTGGCGAGATCGCCCCGAATGGTACGAAACGCGCTTTCACTCTCGGTGACATTCGTTTGTTCGACTCGGGAAACCGTCCTGTTTCGATTGCTGAGTTTATCGAGAATTTTGATGCCGTCGCCCGCTCCAATGTCAAGTTCTCTTGGCAAAAGAACCACGACCACGGTGAGGAAAAACTGCTCTCCAGCAATCCTCGTAACCCTTCCCGCGACGCTCTGCGGAGTCTCCATAACATTGTCAGCCGATTTGCACGGATTGTCGGCCTGGATAAGACCGATATCCCACTTGCAGTGTACAAAGGATCCTTTGGTGAAAAGTTTTTCATCCACAGCAAAGTCATTGCTTCCACCCTTCGGACCTTGGCCAAGAAGACTTACAACCTGACTGATCGCGATCTTCAGCGACATTACAAATATACGTCCCATTCTCTTCGAGCTGGGGCGGCAGTGATCCTTCACGCTGCGGGTATCAACGCTATTCAGATCAAATTTCTCTTGCGCTGGCGCTCTGATTCTTTTTTCCTTTACCTTCGCAATGTTGCACACCTTTCGGAGCAACAAAACCGGGCAATTAACCAACTTGCCTCGGCTACTCAGTCTGAAGTGACTGCAGCTCGCGCTGCTTCTCGACTCATCCCAAACATTGTTTAGATACACAACCCCATCTACTACTCTCCTCCTATTCTCCTTTCTTCCCTTCCTCCTCCCTTTCTCCGTTTCCCCTTTCCACTTTGTCTTTCTCCCTTTCTTTCCTTTCCCTCCTTTCACTTGCTTTCTCGAGCACTTTCTTCTTTCCCTTCTGATCGAACGCCCAGCTTTCGATCCTGGGCACTTTCTTTCTTTTTTCAATTTTCTTTTTCTTTCTTTTTGTTTTTTTTTGCAATTTGATTTTGATTTTGATTTTTTGATTTTTCATTTCCCACGCCTGCGCTCGCATGTTTGTGGCCTTTGTCTTCCGCTTTCCCGGAAAGCGATCGCACCCGTAGTTTGGTGGCTCTCTCATTTGCACCATAGCTCGGTACCCCATTTGGTCCGGGTTTGTCTGTCAATCCTATTGATTGTCCTTTTCGAATCCTATGATTCGACCTCGGTGCAAACCAGTCACTAACTTAGTACCTCGCTACTGTGCCAAACCTACTCGCTTCTCGTATGTAGCATCGGGCTTTTGCCACAGTTTCCATGGTAGCATACGTGCGCGATCTCTCCAGACAAAGACTACATCATGCGATTCAAGCCCAGGAGTGGAGGCGGCGCCGGGTAATCTTCGATTATAGATCGGCAAGACGGGAGACGTATGGGCGTTTCTAGCTCTTCCTTAGTCTCAATTTCCGTCGTGTCGATTACGGCGCGTCGCTTCAGTGAAGTACACGGTTGGCGGACGGAGCGAAGAGTGTCGACGAAGAGGGCGGAAGATTTGGAGAAGACATTGTTCGCAATGGGAGCTTGTGGGATGATGGAGGCGATAGAAGGAGTTTAGCTGCTCGGTCAAGACCGTCAGCTTTTTTGCTTTTTCCCGCCCTCACCACCCTCTCTCTCATTTGCACCATAGCTCGGTACCCCATTTGGTCCGGGTCTGTCTGTCAATCCTATTGATTGTCCCTTTTCGAATCCTATGATTCGACCTCGGTGCAAACCAGTCACTAACTTAGTACCTCGCTACTGTGCCAAACCTACTCGCTTCTCGTATGTAGCATCAGGCTTTTGCCACAGTTTCCATGGTAGCATGCGTGCGCGATCTCTCCAGACAAAGACTACATCATGCGATTCAAGCCCAGGAGTGGAGGCGGCGCCGGGTAATCTTCGATTACAAGAAAACGGTTAGACGACTGGCTATTGTATTAATTGAGTTGTATTTTTACTCTATCTATTTTGATCGAGATCTCGACGATCTCCAACAACCATTATCTATTTTCGTCGAGATCTATGAAGAAAGCCACACCTGGGAATGGATTTGATTGGCTAATTTTAGTTTCTCCCCCAAGGTTCCCCCTTGGATATATTTATTTATTTATATTCTTTTGTTCGCGTGGTCGGGAATATTCGTTGTCTGAAGTTTTCTTGTTCGTGCCAGAAACGCGTAAAACCCTCCTTTTTCTTCTTTCTTTCACTCTCTCCCCCCCCTCCTCTTCTGCCCTTTCCCCCCCCCCCTAAGCCCACCAGAGTGCTAAATAATAATCAGGCAGATCCAGTCCTACCGGTAGATCGGATGGTCCTGGATCATCAAGTAATGGATAAGCAAATTAGAAACGATCCATACCAGCCACTTGCGATCTGATCCGCAAACCTGCTTTTCCAGAATGGACGCAACCTAACCAAATCACTGCAGCTCCGGTTGAACAAGTTCTAGCCTTCCTAGAGAATGTGGTAGTATATTGGCAAACCGGAATTGACTAGCACTACATGCGGTATAGAAACGTACATGGTAGAAGCTTATTGTTAGAGCTTCTAGCTAGATTCTCTTTTGACTAATATTTTTGTCTTTAACAGTATCCAGTTTTGAGTGTCGCTTGTAATTGTTTGAATGAAGTCATTGACCCCACATTGGCAAAATTGAGTCCTCGTTTATTGTATTCTATTCTCTCATCAAAATAAAAATATGAAAAAGAACTCCGCATTCGTCTTTTCTATACGCTTTTCTATACGATAGTAGAAAGCTTCATTCGAAACGCTGGCCTGAAGAAAGATTATTTTTGTCACAATGGAGCCCATAGTCAGGATTCTGCGCTTGTCATCGTCTTTGAATCTTTCCCAACAAAGGTTGATTATTGGGTCCTCGATCGTTGCATACACATTTAGTATATTTGCGATGAAATTGAGCTCTGCGTTCGCCCTTTATGTTTTTACCCAATCAACAAGCCGATTGATGCTTCAGGTCCAGATACTCAGCAAATTGCACAGGCTAGTTGTCGCAAGCCTCAGAGAAGTGTATACTTCACTAGAATCGCAGCGATAATCTCAACTGGTAGATTTGACTGCTCTCTCATGCCTTGATTGACCTTTCCAGGATGATGTCGATTCAATCACAATATGATGCGATCAAGTTGTCAAAATCACTTTCCAACAAGCGCGAAGTTGGGGGGTGGTTGCACTTCTATCGATCCGTAGGACCTCTCGATCGATTGCATGTCTCTCACAACAAAAACCCTGACTCCGAATCCACAATGCTGGCGTATTGTCGCAGCTCGCGTGAAGTTGATGATTCATTCTCTGCTTGTTGTGCTGCTTGTTGCGCTGGAGTCAGTCTGCCGTTCTCGCTTCAGGCGCCTGTCATGTCGTCATCTTTATCTCACTAGGTCGCAACTGTTGTGGTGCTGCTTGTTTGTTTTGCAGTTCCTTGGCTTTTGTCTGCATGCTTGAAGTTGATGTGATGTCGGTGCAAAACAATCAGACCATCAGTGCAGCTCACGACAAAAGAGCTAGCGACATATCCGGGTTAGAAGTGCTTTATTTTTGATTTTCAAAAACTAATGGTCTGCCCTCCATCATATTCATATTTCACGATATTTCATGAGGAAAGCTGCCGACACGTAGAGGTGGCACGAAAAATACGGCGGTTTTCAAAAATACCCAACCCCATTTATGAAATATGAGCCTTTCAATTTCAATTGTCCTAAATTACCGTTAAAAATGTCGTCAATTGTACTCAATTACCGTTAGAAATGTCGTCAATTGTACTCAATTACCGTTAGAAATGTCGTCAATTGTACTCAATTACTGTTAGAATTGTCGTAGATTTCTTGTTGGGAATTTACGACAATTTCGGCATTTTTCGACAATTCATGATATGCACGACGAGCGAACTAGAGCGAACAGTGGTGGAAGAATTAACGCAATTTCTGCTTGTTAAATACTCGACTGGTCGCTTTTAAAATTTGCCCTAAGTCAATTTCATCATGAGAGACTAATGCAGAAAAGGGTGAAAATGACCACATGGACTAAAAAGAAATCATAGAAACCCGGATCTAGGACAAACTGCGGGTAGTTTCTCTTTGAGGCAGCGCGTCTTTTCCCCTTTATCGTCACCCCTCCCTTTTCCCTTGTACCAGCTGCAATCGTTGATCAATTGGACTGCTGTTGCTCCAGTTCACTTTGAACATCGATGATGGATGATTTCATGGGAAAAGCCAAGCAACATTGCCATGCCTAGCTTCAGCCTTCTTCAACACGGTTCCGAGGACGATGATGATATCGAAAATTTATCCGAGCCTGATCATCCTCTCGGATTTGGTGCTCAAAATTACTGCAAATGGATGAATGCGTCGGCGGTTGGATCCACCGGTCAATCATCATATCGATTCGAAATGAGTTCAGCGAGAGGCGACCACCCATCGGAGTTTCGGCAATCTTATCCTCCGCTTACTGCGTATATCTGTAACGATACAGTCAGTATTGGAACCCTCCTTTCGTATCATCGATCGGCATCGGATGGAAATGGTCTCCAAAACGATGAGGCTACGTCCCTTTGGAGGCACTGCAATGACACATATCAATCTACTACTTTGGATGCCACCACTGCCACCTTAGCGAACAGCTTAGTACTAAAAAAATCCATTAAGGAAATGATAGACTTGGAGCGGCAGAAGTTGCAGCATCAACATCGAGAAGAAAACCATGGAGTTCAGACTTTAGTTCGGAATCTGGAACAAGAAGTGTCGTCTATTATGAAGGAGCGACGAGAAAGAGCAGAGCGACAAAAAAGAGAAGAAGAAGAAACAACCAAGAGAGAAGAATCTAGGCCGCGACAGCCAGGACCGGCGACAAAAAGTCAAGCAGCTCAGTCCTCGATAGGGAATGACAACAACGCAGCAATAGGGATTGCCAATGGAGAGTCCGACGATCAAAGAGGGAAAGAAAAATCTCAACTTCTCGAGACAAAGGATACGATGCCAGGGAACAGAACAGTCCACAGTGGACTTAGTAGTGAGAAAAATAATAGCAAGGCGGCATCGCGAACTCCAGAACACATTCTGAAGGGAAAGAAACTCATCTTGCAACTCGTGAAGCTGCGGAAAACTATTGAACCTTTCGATAAGAACAAAGCTGTGTCAAAGCGAAGGCTTGCAATGAAGAAAACGATTCGCGGAAAGCTCAACACCCTAAGCGAGAGTGCAGAGAAGGTTCAAGAAGTGTGTGCTCAAGTCAACGCCGCCATTAACACAGCACGACAAGAAGACGCGCAAATGAAGGAAGCCATAAAACAAGGGCAAGCTGGGTTTACAACAGACATGGCTCACGGGAAAAGATACATTATAGATCTTTTTGCTTCCAATGTTATTCAAAGGGTCCAAGCAGAGGGATTCAATGGGCCACGGGGGGATGGGTTTCCTCTTGCTGCCATGGTTGCAATGGTTTCTTCCGAAAACAAAGACGTGATACCTGTTCTTGCTGCTCATATTTATACTGTGTGCCGTATAGCTATTCCTTCTCTTCCAGACGCGGTTGCCAGCGCTAGTGAAGTTGACTTTATGGAAAGTCTCGGCATGCTCCGAGACAAGAATGGAGACTTTGAGAGCTGGGATCGTTTCTCCTCAAGAACCGAGAACATCATCTCAATTGTGGCCAACATCCAAGCGTCCATGCCACCTACACACTGTTTACTGGGTGGACAAAAAGGTGCAGCTGAGTGGCTGGAGCGATTTCTGGAGTCGCTCCCACCTCCACCGACAGCACCGCTTCCACTACTAACAGCTCCAGTGCTCCACGCCTTCCTTTCTGGAGCAGGCTGCATGCTTGCAGACAAGTATGAATCGTTATTCAAGAAAAGTCTCCAGACAATATCAGAAGATATCTTGGATCGATTGGACCAAGGTGCAATTGGAAAGCCAAGTTTCATTCGCTTGTCCAAGACAATGGAGAAAGGATACAATGGATTTAGGTCAACATTGCCACCCAAGGCTATCCCAGAGATGTACAATAGCAGCATCAACACTGGTATCGGAAAGTCAGGTGGAATGCACGGGCATAATACCTCCAGCAGGTCTTTCGGTGGAGGCAACCCGTCAACGTCTACCTCTGCTGCACAATCCAACCCTTTTGGCAGCAGCTCGGTTTCTCCGCGCATCTTGACAAATAACAATGCGGTATCCAATCCATTTGGCAGTAGTCCAATTGCCACTCCAAATTCATTTGGAAGGGGTTCAAGCAGAGATCAAATGAATCAATTCAACAGTGCTGATTCCAACACTTTTGCGAAAGCGACAAGCTTCGGTTTTGGCTCACAAGATACTGCACCATCAACTTCAGGATGGGCCTCCACCGGGAACAAAGCTAGTGGAAACCAATCGTTTGGTGCTACATTTGGAAACATACAGAGCAGTAATCCATTTGCAGCAGAACATGCGGGCAACACACAGGAAAAAAATGCAATGTCATCCAGCACGTCCTTCTCTTCGAGCAATCAAATACCCAATCAAATACCGACAAATATATTTGGTTCCATCAATCAAGTGCCGCCAAATACTACACCATTTGGTTCCAGCAATCAAGTACAGACAAGCACTACACCGTTTGGTTCCAGCAATCAAGTACATACAAACACTACACCATTTGGTTCCAGCAATCAAGTACATACAAACACTACACCATTTGGTTCCAGCAGCCATTTGCGGACTAATGCAGCTCCTTTTGGTTCAAGCAATCAAGCACAGACTAGCACAGCGCCATTTGGGTCGAGTACTCAAGGGAAAACGCAGACTCGTGCTTCGGCTTTCGGATCAAGGAATCGAACAACTACTGGTGCTTCGGCTTTCGGATCCAGTAATCAAGCAACTACTGGTTCTTCGCCTTTTGGTGCCAACTCTGGGAACAACAACAAGAAGAATATACCTCCTTGCAAGTTTTTCCTGAAGGGTCAGTGTAGGTTTGGTGATAAATGCAAATTCAGTCATGACATCGGAAACAGCTCGTCGGTTTTTTCTTGGAATAATAACAACAACAACAGTAACAGAAACGCGCCATTTGGAGGGGGGTTCAGCTCTAATCAACGAAATCCGTTTGCATAGGAGTACTCGATTACAAGAAAAGTAGAGACTATTCGCGGCTCAAAAGCAATAGGAATGAACGGGAATGCGTAGGTAGCAGCAGCACCAACTGTTGGACATATTCACGCTACCGCTGTTGGATTGCGATTAATTTCTTAAATTGCTGATGAGCACCGTCTGCATTCTGAATTCCTACCACAGCTACCTTGATCGTTTTGCCAAGGGCTTTTCCTAAACTCCGCTTTGTGAATTCAAAGAACAGTGGTATTGTCTCTGCCCGTGCAAGGTCGATAATCTGCTGCAACTTTTCATCTATGGCTTATTGGAGCAACAGAATTGACACAACGTGAGAACTGTTGGAAAATGACTGGATTTTTGGATCAGAAAGACAAGCAAGGTCGTACCTCCATATTCATCTAAATTGTTTGCCATCACGACCATTTTCACTTTGTGCGCTCTTATTCCTCTACAGACCTCTCTTAATCCCATAACCAACCGCCGTCTTGCTTTCGCATTCTTATCTTCGATGGCTCTCTTTTGCAGCCTCATCAGCTCTCCGAGCATTTCGGTAAGCAATGGTCGCACTTGCTCATCATTCGTGACCTGAGCATAGTTACGTAGTCCAACTCCATTTGGAATCTTTGGTACTCGTTTGCATTTGGCGAAGAATTCCGGAATTATTTTGTCCCCACTGTAGAGAGGCTCCTTAGCTTCCAGATCAGTTCCAGTTGCAGGGAGCAGGGGCTTGCTCGCCACCAACGTCTCTTCATCATTGGGATTTCGACGAAAGGAGCTGGAAGCACTGATGATCCGGCCACCGATGACAGAGCCGTTTAACTCGGCAACAACAGTGTCAATGCTTGACCGGAGCGTATCAGGTACAAACTTTACACCCACAATATTTTGATCACGGATAATGTTCAGCCCTGCAACCTCTCCATACTTTGAGATGGAAGATCGGATGTCGTTGAGACTCTCCTCAAGGCAGTCATCATCGTCCATATCATCTTCACTCAACATGTTACTAAGAAATACTAACCTTTCGTCAAGCCTTTCTATGCACGCAAAAACAGCACCACCACCAAGGACAAGACCATTCATTTCAAACACAGCATCATGAGCAGCTGAATCGTTGCCCATGAAACAAACCTGTACCTTGTCGCCCTCAGCCCCAATGCCGACGACCTTGCCGTGCTTTTCAATCAGCTCTTTCACGTCACTTAATGTTTCTTGCAAGCACTCCTTGTCTTCAAAGTCATCTTGCGTCAGAAGGTTTTCCAGGACAATGTATGATAATGGCATAGACTCCGAAGTTTGACCATTCGTTTCAAGGACGAAGGCTGAAAGCGATTCACCGGCGATGACTGTACTGGAAAGCCCACGAACTACCGCCTGAGCAGTTGTGCTGTCCCCGGAACAGACCAGAACAACATTCCCATCTCTTTCACCGGAAGGATGAACAGTTGTGACGTTAGCATACTTTGCAGCGGCTTGTTCAAGAAATGAGAGACTCTCTTCCATGCAATCACTGTCGTCATAGTCATCTTCAGAAAGCACGCCCAAAATCGCAATTTTTGTCGTCTTGTTATCTGCTTTGCTCGCTGCATGCATTGGTGAGAAAGATCCTTTGCCTTCTGCTGCAATGATTTCATCTGACCAATCTGAATTTCTATTGAAGTTCGATTCGTCGATGAAGACAACCGATAGCACATCTCCTGCGATCACTAGTCCCTCCCAACATGCCTTGGCTGTTACTGCACCCTCCATCGTCTTGAACCGGACAAATACTGGGTACTTGCTACTTCGATCGAGACCTCGAGGTACCAATATTCTATCTACCTCCGCAACTTTGGCAGCCATTTCTCGTAAGTTATGTTCAACTTCTTCCAATTCGTCATCATCCTCCAAATCATCACCATGGGCAAAATTATATAAACATATGGATTCGGAGCATTCAGACAGAGCGCTATTGGTAGAAAGGTTGCCCTTGACCTTCCCAACAAAGACAGTTTGATTTGGATGCAGCTCTTGCCACTTCTTGAGTCTCTCTTGCAAGACCTTTTTCTTCAAAGCAGTCAGCTTTTTCTTTCGCGGAGCAACTCTTTGTCGACCCTTTTTCTTGTAGACCGTGCGTTCTTGCATAAGCCTTAATAACTCGTGCTCTTCTCCATCTCGTGCTCTATCATGATAATCTCGTGGTTTTGCGAACATTGCCGCCACCGAAGTTGTTGGATCTGAGGTTGAGTTGCGTTTCGTTGAGTCCTTCTTACTTGGGGCCTTCTTGGGCTTTGTCCTAAGGGTCGCTTGGTCACCTCGTTTTGTACCCTTAGATGGTGCCCGCCTCGGTGGGGCACCCCATTTCAAAGTGGGTGTTGGGAGTTTTCGAATAGACGCAGACAGCGCGGGAAATTCTACATGTGATTTCGGTTGCAGTTGAGTTGATTTCGATAGAATTGCATCTGATGCCACAGAACTTGTCCTGGCGTTTTGCTTTGCGATTGGCGCTAAAACATTACCTATAGAAACAGATCTGAGACTAGGCTTTGGCTTCGAACTTTTCTGTTCGTTACCTGATGAATTCCCATTGATGCCTTTTCTCTTCCCTCTGCGTCCATCTGAGCGTTGAACTGAGCTCTGTTTGGAGGTTGGGGAACCAGAAAGGTTTTTTTTGCCTGCAATATCTCTCCAAGTATTTATTGACTTGGCAACATGCTTGCTGCCGTCATGAAAGGAAGATCCCTTGTTTGGATTTGTTTTTGATTCATATTCTCGATGAAGAACCAGTTTTCCGTCGTCGTTGGATAAAGAGTTAATGACATCTTTCTTCCTGCTGTTAATGCTCTCAGGTGGACGACCTTCTCTTTGCTGCCTCTTTATAGCATCTGCATAGCTAAAGGACATGTTCTTTTAGATTTTCTCAACCGTGCATGAAGATGTTTTGATGGTGTGATGCATAAAACCTTCTTTCTTCTGGTACGGTACCGGTACAGTCGAAAGTCGTCTGTTTGTCCATCAGATAATAGCTGTTAACGTCTGCACCCCAACGGCTAACGTATCCAAAGTATCTTATACAGGTATCAAGATTCCCAATCTTGACTACAATGCTCCTTCGCTAAACTTCGCCACGTTCTCAACGTTGTTAAGACTAAGCATCGCTATTGCATGCGTTGAGATGGTCGGAGTTTCATCCTGTTTACATCCTTCAAAATACAAAATCACTTTATCACACCTTTTCAGACATTTTACAGCTATTTCAGTACTTGAAGCACGACAAACCTGGACAACCTTGTGCCTGCATTCTCAAGTAATCAAGGCTGTACACGCTATAGCTTTGAGTGGTTATCTACGCCCAATTTATACCTAATTAGCTACGCCACCAGCCTCTGTGGAGACGTCCATTAGAGCTACCAACGAAAGCTCTCCGAGCCTACAACAAAGAAGTACTTCGCTAGCTTCCCAAGCTACCACCAGCTCTCCGAGCATCGATGGAGCTTTCCAAGCACCTACCTACCGGCCCACAAGCTTTCCAAGCTCACATTTTCAAAGATAGAGACTCCGTCTCGCCCAACTGGTCCCTACAGGAGACAGCTCTCCAGCATCTCTTGTTGACGTCGCCGCAGAACTCAACGACGACTCAGTTGGCTGGGACAACAACACCGCTAGCTCCGCAAGCACATTGCCTCCCATGTCAGGCACCACTTCCACTACCTTCCAGCTCCAACCGCCCATCATGGGCTACACCATGGAAATCAACAGCTCTGGCGACAAGATGGCAGTCGTTGGAACTGGCAAACCATTTAGGACTGGAGCGCATTGGATTCCAGTGCACCACTGGCATTTTCTCCAAACCAGCAACGTCCCATCTATGGAGATGGGAAATACCGTCATCTACATACCCAAGGTCTGCCTGTCAAGTTTGTCAGAAAAGGCAATCTCAAAGAGTTCAAGCGTCAGATATAAGAATTCATTGAAGCAAATAGGTTCTTTGCCATCACTCACGTACCTGATCCAGTCTCTGGTGAAATGCTCTGAATTGTCAACGGACATCCAAGATTCACGGTCCAGTCTGTTGCAAAGCAAGTTGAACATCAGGATAAGTGTTACGACAAGTACGACAAAGCAAACGACACTGAAGCCAAGATCTTCCTATGCAACAGCCTCGACCCAGAACTTGCTGCCAAACTCTACCTGAAGGTCAAGACTGTCAATCCTTTTCCCGTCATGTTTCAAAAGTTCATTCAGATGCTCCACATCACGTCCATCCACTACTTCAAAGGACTCAAGACGAACATTTGCAAGCACAAGCCCTCCCAATACTCTGGAGAGGACATTGCACAGATGGCAGAGGACAACAAGGAAGATGCAAATGAGTTGACAATTGCAGGTCAATATAAATTCAATCTCAACAATGTCATGGTTGGCAACTTCCTTGAAGCCTCCAGAGCTGAGCACAATTCTTACCGTCATGAAATGCTCAATGTCAGCGCCAAGATGGACAAAGTACTGATTGAGATTGGCTACATGGACAAGGAAGCAGCAGCAAAACATTTGGAAGCAGAGGAGCTCACCACGAGCACATCTGTGACAAGGCCAAGAACGCTTACCGTATACTCTTTGACAAGCATCAATGGCCCGCTGAAAGACCCACCATCCAAGATTCCAAGACTCCGTATGCCAAGATGGCCAAGACATTCACCCCCGATGACGTCCAGAACCATGCATACGCTCTGATCCACCAACAGACCGGTTCAAAGGGCAAGGCCAAACCTGACGACATCTGTTTGAACTGTGGAGAGAAAGGACACTGGGCTCGCAACTGCAAAAGTGACAAGAAGCCCAAGCGACCTTTCAAAAAACAATAAGAAGAGTAAGCATCAGAAGGACAAGCACGGATCCAGTTGGAAGACTACTCCACCTGCTCCTGGTGCACCTGAGACTAAGGAAAGGATTTCAACTGGTTTGCACACTGTGGACGTCGGTTGACCACCCATGGTACTGACAGCCATACCAATGATGCCACCAAGCGCGACTTGAAAGGCTCTGGACCCCAAGCAAATCAACTACGCTTCACTAGGGCCTGGTACACTCCCTTCCGCAATGATCAGCCCTGTCTTCTGTCCCTACGTGTTGTCTGGACCATCATCCAACACTTCTTGAGTTACCTTCCCCAGTTGGTTGTTGCCTTCTTCTTGGCCCGTTCCATTGGGGTCACTACACCAAATGTTTCAACTTTCATGGCCGATCACGTCTCGACTGCATCCTCTTTCTTCTTGACTGCATCCTCTTTCTTGACCGGTCAAGTTTCTTGCATGATGAGCCAAGCTTCCATTGCCTCCGCCTACCTATTCACTGCCGCTTCCACTGTCATTGCTGCCTTTGAGGGATCCCCGACCAACCGCCTTGCTCCACTCCTGTGGTTCACTCTTCTGATCCTTGTGTCCCTTCCTACCATGTCTCATTGGGTCCCCGCCTCAAGAGTTTTGCCCGTTCCGGATGACCAAAGCAAAGTATAAACAAGGCATTCGACACTGCCGTCCTCAGCGCCGCCCCACTTCCTTCAGCCATCACCGTCCCACCCGTCACTATGGTCTCGCCACCCGCCGTTGCCTTGACCCACAATCTCAGGATATCTTCGACTTGGTCCAAAATATCATTCAGTTTTCGGAGTCTCTCACATTTTGCCGTTCCCGTCCAGAGGGAGATAATTGGAGAAGCAGCGCCAACAGAAGACATCAGAGTAATCAAAATGATCAAAGCAATTGGCAGAGAACAAACGGCTGTCAGATAATCAACTCCGTAGCTGTAATGAGAGCCTCAACGCTCTAGCCACCTCTGGAGTGTACTGAGCTCGAATCTACGTCGGCTATGGATTGCCTACAATAGGAACAGGTGCCAGTGATGCTGG